CTTAGTGCAGGAAGGCTTCATTGACACTTAGTGGCCTTCCACCCTCCCGAGTTACCTAGGGTGAGGCTTAATGATGTCAACACAGTCTTTCATATAAAGCTTTTCTCTCTTAGCATGGGGATCAGTCTCTTCAGCTCCAGCATTCTTGTTGCCTTCAGCATAGGTGGGGGAGAAGAGAAAGGACGAAGTCTGTGCCCCCTGTGTTCTGTTTTATATGCTTAGTCCATGTGCTTGGAGAACATAAGTCAAGGAATGTCTGGTGGGCGTTGCTGAGTCACCAGGCAAGGATAAGCAACTCCTCTGGTGTGGCCTTGTGCACGTGAATTATTGAATTGTAACTCCCTAGCTGGACAATGGCTGTTGATGGTTGTTCGACACCCACTCAGGCATTGGTTACCCCCCGGTTATTATTTTTGGGGTGCTAGTATCTGGGCGCTTCCCAAATCCACAGCATATTTTAGTGGCAACCATACAACACAATTATCATAACTTCATATGCTTTAATGATATACACATTTAGATGGAACAGTGGGTTTCTGCAATTCATAACCTTTCCCATAATACCTCACTTGGCATGCTTTATATGCAATATCACAATTATATACAAATGATGAATATGGGGGTTACAGGGTGCTCCCCCAGGGTGTAGAGTGTCACAATATCTTTCTTTCAGGCCCTATTTTCTTTCATCCTAATTGGAAAGGCGGGGAGTGGGGGGGGACTTGAAAAGAAATCAAGTCAGAGATTGCATGAGGTAGGGGCCTTGGAAGCAAGGAGGAGTTTGAGTTTGATGTGCTACCACCGTTGAGAAAAGCCAGTGAAGTTGGTAAGAGAACCTACCTCCTCAGTTGCCCCTCCCCTGTTTGCTCAGAGGCATTCTCTACTTACTGCTGGTGTGTGCCAGGGGACCCTTCCCACTGTGAGGATTGTGACCCTCTCCCCAAGTCTTCAGATAATGCTCACTGCCTTTTCATACATGGGAAATGGTACAATCTACGTATAGTGTCATGGTACATCTGTATGTGGTACAGTGAGGATTGATGGGCACCACTCCCACACATTTTTATCCAGGAGGGAAATAGATATATCCCTATTAGTCTTATTTTGCCTTCAGTTACTCTAGTGTAAATCAGGAGTGTCTCTCCTCAATTCAACAATTATACCAAAGTAAATAAAAGAAAAATCAGGCCGTATATTTAGAGAAATGGTGTATGGATTGTACACTGTATTACAAAACATGTCAATCTTGTGACTAAGCCAAAAAATAAACCTAGAACCAGCACAGCCTTTGTTTAAAATGAAATGGTAAAATAACTGAATGTACACCCGGTTAAGTCTTGCAGATAAAAATGTGATTCATTAACTAAGATCTGGCAATACAAGTTCAGGGTCAGGACAAATGTGAAACAACTTGTCAGGACTTGTTCAGTCTTCCTGAACAGCCTCGTTCCTTCTTCCTGAAGTTGGACAGCTTTAAATAAATTACCCTCAAAGAAAAGAATTGCTGTATTTTTAAACAGCAACAGAACTGAATCAACTGCTCAGCCAAGCACAAGACACCAAAGGTTAGTATTTAATCTACAATTTTAGGTGGAGGGAAAAGTTCCAAAGTACATATGATTTACTGTTTTAAAAACAAACTCAGAGGGCTGCAACACCATGATACAGGGAAATGAAATGGAGATTGAGATATTTCAGATGAAAAAAAAGTTTTGTGTAGGCTTTGCTCTAATTTCTTTTCACTTTGAGTTGCTTTATATATATCTAATACATTGTATGTGGGGTAAGTTGTTTTTCAGAAAACACTATGGAACATGGGCAACTTTTTCAGTGATTCAGGCCAAACAAACCAAAGAAATCCTGAATTGATTTCAGTCCTCACAATCTCATTCTGTAACCCTCCCCCC